GGGGTGTGCTGAAATTCAAACATATTATCCAAAAAGGGCACAAGAGATGTCCCACTTCAGCTGCTGTCACACTATAAAAACCCTTTTATGTTCGGGTGCAGGACGCTCACATTTTACACAAGGTTAGACCTATAATAACACAAAGGAAATGAATACTGGACAGATGGAAACGTGACTTAGAATTCAATCATTTCACTCATCTCATGGTTTCACTCATGGCAACCATTTCCAACTAAAAGGAACATCAATTGGAAGGCCATTACTACACAGTCTATGGCTTTCTCTCCTAACAGGCAATCTTGATATAAAAACCATTTCAGAATGAAGTCATGATTAGCTCCATCTGGTGTCAAAGTGTTGGACGTGTCGATCACAGCAATCCCATGTCAAGAAATGTCTTCAGGGGTTGCTACTTTTGTGACCCTCTTAAAGGCATAGTTTACATTTTAAAGCAAGATTCTGGGAAAATGTAATCTGTGTTGGTACATATCAGCATGAGTTTGTAGGTAAGAGTGGTGAAAGGCCACTTAGGGTTGAGGTATAGTTTTGAGTCTTGAAGTTCACACTGAGTGCACTCGAGCCAAGCAAGTGGTTTAGCTTTAATCTTGACGTGTCCATTGGTGCTCTGTTCTCCAAAAATGAGTCTTCTTATATGAATACCAGTGCAGGCAGACTTGATTTACCATACTGCCTCCCAAATAGTCCAGTTTGAGTGAAAGGTGGCGTGCAGGTTCCACGCTGAATTGCAAAAATTCAGAGGTCATGACCCATCGTGTGCAGTTCAGTACTAGCTTCAGATAGCGTAACTGTTTTAGTCTATTTATTGACTCGATACAACTCAAACGGAAAAATATTTATATCAAATGGATGAAAATCGTGATGTTCGAGGCTGCTGGAAGTGCTGAAAACTTTCTAATTGACTATGAGACATAGAAGAGCACTGGAACAAACCCTTTAGAGCTCGAGCAAATGAGACTTAGGGTGTTTTCACACCTGATAGTCAGGCAGACTCAGTTAATTGGGGAACATTTGTTACATTTTCAGCAGGTATGGCTCACTTTCACACTCTGCACTTTGTCAAACGAAACAAACCCTTAGAAGAACCTGTCCCCCCCCCCTGCCTGTGGTGGCACTGTACCAAGAATGACAGAAGGAAATGACACAGAAACCTCAGAAGAAGAAGAAGACATGAGCGCAACTTCCTTATTTTCAAAATGTAAACAGAAAAGGTGCAGCGTCAGATTTTAGCAGTTGCAGGATTTCTGTTTTGTCTGGTAAAAACGACTATAAGCCACTTCTCCTGCTAGCATTACACTTGCACATTTGTTTTGGTTGTATTTACCCACAATGCCCTGCGCTACAGTCTGCCTCCTGCTTTTCGGGTGGTCTCCGTTCCGCTTGGCTTTCACATATGCATTCGCTCCGCACCAGACTTCATGTCAACCAAACCGGGATCTAGATTTTTAGACCAGAGTTCGATTTTTTGGTCCACATCAAATTAACCGGACTCTCTAGAGAAAACAAACTAGAGTTTGATTAAAGCTGACTAAATGTATTTGCTCCACTTCTGGTAGAACTGCAGTGGTCTGATGGGTCACAGGCGGACTGATAAAACCAGTAGCTAAGTTAAGATTAGTGTGGGTACATGGACGGCTCTGGTGGCTGGCAAACACTGTCCCTGCTGCCACCCCAGTAGGAGACTTTGAATTAAAGAAAGTTACATTGACTCAAAGGACATGTTCGGTAACATGTCTCAGACATCCAGTGGTGATATTATTAATTACAGCATCACTTTGCCAGGTCTGTCTCAAATGTTACAAAACGAAGCAGTCAGAGCGGCTTTATTACTTTATATTTTTGGTAAATAAAAGAAAAGTACAAAAATAATAAAGCTGAACTGTGGATTTTGAGAGGGAACAAATCAGTCAATAGTTACCACTAGAACAGTCGTTACATGTGTACATGTCTGATATTAGGCCACTGTAGCATAAAAACCACTGTATATTATCAAATTCTGGCAGGATGACTTCTTGTCACTTGTTTTTTCTAGAACATGCATAAAATAATTTTAAAACTGGATCTTGGGAAGCTGAAATACCAAGGCATATTGCTACTTGGTGCGTTCCTGGCAAGCGTTTGCAAAGCAGCCAATCCAGGAGCGCCTTTCACTTTCCCTGCTGCTGACTGGCCATCACCAAGAGCCGAGATAAGGAAGACTGCAGATATTAGCTTAGACGGTTCCTGACTGTCCCTCGTTTTTGCAAACTGAGTTGAAATGGATTTATCTGCCTTTATACAGCGAATTTAGGTCTTACTCCCCTGACACCGAGTCTTTGCCTTACAACAGGAGCTGACGCAGAAAGCCCAAGGCACTGAAAATGAAGGGCTGTTAAATAATTCTTGTCAGCAGGGGACTCAGACTTGGATGCATGCAGACAAGGCTTTAGAAAGCAGAGGGAGAAATGCCCTGCGGAGAAAGGGTGTCATGTTTAACACCTATTGCAACCTATTTTTATCCAGGCTCTTGCTCTCAATGTGCAGGTGCTTTGTCAAGTCCTGAAAACAAAAACAAAAACACGTTTGTTTAAACGTCTCAAATGGCCTTCTGCCATAAGTGCTCGCGTAGATGAAATCATGTGATTGCTTTTTTCCGCCTCGTCTACAGGAACATGCAAAGCTGAAGGTCGGAGCGCATTATCAGGTTTTGGAGGCCCATTTTCTCCACCAACATCCATCTAAAATCATCAAAATCTAATCTCGCAAATGTCTTGACATTTGTGGAAGCACAATCAGCGAAAGACAAGGTGAAGGGATTGATCTGGCTAATGTTGGATTGGAGAGGAGCTGGATGTCCTGATGAGCTAATCCAATTTATCATAAATTCATTAAAACAAAATCTCCTTTTTTCAGCAAGCACAGGTTCAAATGGAACGTTGTTAGTTTCAGGCGGCATCTGAGGAAAACCAGAGGCTGCTCCTCTCTTGACATTAACACCCGTGTGGTTTCCAAACAATTTAAGTATATTTAACTGCAGATGAGACATGACTGAGGAGGAAGATTTTGCACAACTTGCTACTTAAAAAGACGGTTAGCATTCATGCTGGAACAGTTTGTGACACAGCAAAAGCAAAATCTAGACTTCCAGGCAGTGAGTTGCTGTCACATTGTTCAACAGAAAAAATAGGGTGAGACATTCATTACATGTAATGTTTATCAACCTGTTAGTCTCGTGTCAGACGGGATTCGGGAAAAAACTGATTGCAGCACTGAGTAACTGTGAGATGTTCAAAGCTGAAGTTGTCTTGGAAACAGAGACGAGATCACTTACTCATCGCATGTTTTAGACTTTTTGAACCCACAAAATTAAAATAAATCCAAAGGTGCTGTGCTCAATTTTCTCGACAGGTATAGTTTTTCTCGGATAATGCAACCTATAGAAGTAAAAAAAAGGCGACAATGTATCAGTTTCTGCATTTTATTCTTTAATTTTCATGTTCTAATGAAACAAAACACTTTAAAGGTGACAGAAATTGCTTACAGGTAAGCTAACATCACTTGTATCCTACTGAAGATGTTAAAAGCTGATAAAAGAGCAAGAAGATAATCTAGCATTTCCTTACTTTCTGACATAAAAAGCTAGTAAGATGTTCAACAGCCTTAAAAACAGAAAATATAGGTAAAGTTAACTTCTTTGAGCTTTACAAAATTATATATTATTTTTCCCTACCTGGAAGTTTGGTTTAAGTTTTTCAAGTATGTTTGAGAAATCATTTAATCTCTATGGCAACTGTTAAGTTTTGCAAAATGCCTGGGAGGACCTAGCCCCGCCTTCGAGGTTGAAGCTCCTCCTTCGACCAGGAGTAGAGCAGGAGCTTCTTAAAGAGACAGAGCCCCGATTTCAAAGTGTCAAATTACAAAGTCAAATTTCTTTTCAGGCACATTTCATGAATATATTTAAAGTAATAAGTTACTTTACTACAAAATGATTCCGAGGGTGAAAAACGCATAACACCTCCCCTCTAGTCGTTTGATCCAGAAAAGTGAGAGCTTTGTTTAAAACTGAAAAAACAAAAAAACAATTATTAACAGTTTTACACAATATAACTCCCTTTAACCTTAAAGGCAGTGTGTAAGATTTCAGAGACTCTACGCATACGCCATCCCCCCTTTCTGCTCCTTTCTTTTTGAATTATCTGCATTATGCCACTCTTGATTTTTTTCCTCAGTTCTCCCTGGGAAAGCCTCTTTAATCTCAACAGCCCCGCTCACTTACTAAACGAGGTTAAAGAAAGGCGACGCGAGTTAAATGAGAGGTCAGATAACATGACAAACACTGCTTGACTTTACATTTGTTGCTGTTTCGTTCCAGTTTTGATGTTGCTCACATGCTTCATATCCGGTTAACACAGTGAATATTAAAAGAAAACAAGCCTTTTATAGATCAATGCAGCCATGCAGCAACTACTGACTGGTTGTCACGTCAGGTTTCTTTTCTTTTAATGTTGCTCAGCAGAGAAGAGGAAAACACAAAATCTGACCCAGTAATTCTGGCCTAGTTCAAAAAGTTATTTAAAAGTTACTTTTGTCTTATTCCAAGTCTACTAAGATATGTACACTAGAAACTAGTTCGAAAATACTTGGTGGGATTTTGTGTTTTTGCAGTGATTTAAGTTAGCTTCATCATGTTTTTACTAAGCATCATTAACTGACTGGTAAAATGTTTGGAGTTACTGCCACGCTCCGTTACTTCTGCTCTTAAAGCACAAGCTAGAGGCTAAGCATATATATATATATATATATATATATACTAGATTTGTGAGCAGATCCCCAGGAGGAAAGAACAGCTAAGTTAAAAGCGAAAACAAAGTGACAGAGCCGGAGAGCCTGGGGTCTGTAAGCAGTTTTTAGATCTGATGATGTGTGGATGCAGCAGCCAGGTATTTCTGGAGCAGGTGATGGATGAGCTACAGCTGTGACCCGACCCTCGCACTCCGGAGCTGCTTCTGTAATCAAGAACAACAGAGGAGGAAGCAGAAAGGAGAGAAACTGCTCATAGGCAGAGTCCACGACGTTACTACGTTATTCAGCAAAATGACGTAAGTTAAACTTTTTAAATTTTTTTGTTTTGTGCGGCTCAAGTCATTTCTTCATTATAGGTTTTAGTTGTTCTTCCGAGTAAAATCGCGTCACATACATACCGCGTCTGCGTTTGTGATACTTGAGTTTTATTGCTCCCAATCTTTCTTTACAACTATTACTCATGTCTCGTGTTTTTTATGCTTACTCTCGACTAATAAAAAAATCAGAATCAGGTAGGGTGAGTAGTGCCCACGGTAATGGTATGTTCTTGCACTGGGGGATTCAGACTATTTTTATTAATAAAAAAAACCCAATAAATAAATAACAGAACAGAGATATTCGCAGCACATATTCATAACATGAAGTATGTCACAAAAACAGAGTGTAAACATCGTACAAAAAAATATAAAAAAACAAATAAATAAAAAAAAATAAACTAAGAAATGTCAATCAGATTCTGAGTGAATACGTTTCGTATAGAAAAAACATGATTATTGTAACAGATTTCGTCCTACTCTAGAATCTGAGCTAGATGGGTTTTTTCAAGTGAGGTTTGATGCCACCTGTTGTTTTCCTGAGTCAGTCAGTAACGTAGTGAAGACATGAGACAAGACAAGACATTAACTTAATACAGTGGCACTACATGGTTGGAAAATACATTTTTATTAATTTTAAACAGATCAAACAAACCACCCCACTTTATGATACAGCACCACTTTACAATAAAAGTATTTCAGCAAAATTGATGATGAACTCAAAACATTTATCCAGCTTATTTTAAACAGGAAACATAAATGCATAAATACTAGTTTAAGCATTAATCTTCTCAGACATAAACATGAGATTGTGCGGATTATTTGTGGCAATTACAAATTACAAATCTGTCTCACTTAACACATCACGTCAACATAATATCCTATTACCTGATGATACTTGGTGCAATAAAAGCATATATCTGTTATAACTTCAACACCAGACATGCTGAAATATTTCTAGTATTCTCATGTCTTTGAGATATGAAAACATTTTCATCAAGCAGCAGCACTTCCAGTCACAAGCGCACGAACGTGAAAATGTCTGTTTTTCCATATCTTTTCCTTTTTCTTCTTCTTTCCATGTGATTTTCCGACCGGGGAACACATTTCAGTCCACCAAATTTGCCTCGCTCTAAGCCCTGCATGCACCATTATCCATAGTTTTATGATTTTCCGCGCCCCACTTTCAGACAGCAGGTTCCCCCACCTCGCCATCCAGCTTCGTCTGTTATGAAATCACAAGATCTGTTCGGTAATGTGTAGCGCGAGCCTTTTCGCTGATTTATTTTATGCCTAATGATAGATTTTCTTTCTCTCTCTCACTAAACGAAAAGCATGACGCTGGGATTAAACAGGCCTATCTTTGTCTCCTCTTGTTAATGTTAGGGAGAGTGGGGGGGAACACAAATCGCAGCTGTGTTTTGACAGAGAAAAAACTCATGTTTTAATCATGCTGAAGTAAAAAGAAAAGAAAAATCACTGTGAGGTTTCTACTGAGCTTTTAAACATGCAAAACATAATACTGATGCTTCTTGGCTGCAGATGATACCATGTTTCTGTCTGGCGGAGTTCATCCGACTGGTTTCATACGTGATTTTACCACATCATTAACGAGTCAACGAGGCTGAAAACGCCAGTAGCCTCAAACACACGCCGTACGCAGGGAGATAAATCAGGAACTATTCTTTCTTTAAGGGGATTCTCAATCACTATTTTCTAAGATTTTTCGAGGGAAACGTGTGTGGAAGTTTTATTATACTTTGAAGGTTTGCTTTTAATCCTTTTTTTTTTTTTATGCTTTTTGTCATTTCAAAAAAACCAAAAAGTTACCGGACATCCCTCTGCTTCTGTTTGCAAATTCCTGCAAGCTGTTTCAAATTCTGCCGCTGAATCGCTAAATACACATGCTCACTAAAAAGTTGAACATGTTGTACATAAATTATCCATTTCCCTATTTAAGTTGTTTATTAATTTTCATAAACTGGGAGTTCACTGTGGTGTGTTCGTGCTGGGTTGTACTGTAAATGTGGCTGAGTGCTCGTCACGGGAGTCTGCTGTTTGACTGGGACTCTGCGGGACGCCACGGCGTCCTCTGTGTCGAGGTTTCCGTACTTTTTGGTGTTTCTCGACGGGCCCGGTGGAGCCGGAGCCCAGCAGTCAGCCAGCGACACGTTCTGTTCGCTGTCATGTTGCATGGCCTGTTTGGTACTGAAGTGAGTGGCATTTTAAATGCTAATTGTTGACCGCACACTGTGCTGCTACAGCTTGACTAATAAAGACAGCAACACCACAGCAGCAGAAAATGTTCTATTGATGTGACTTTGTGGACTTTTAATATTCATGTTCGGCTTTTGTTCTTCTGTGTATTTAGCCAGCTAGAGAGGAGGAGCAGTAGCTGTGGAATTATGAAAATAAATTAGCTTAATGTCAACACAAAACCATTTTTTAATAAATAGTTTTTTGTGCTAGGATAAGGTGGTTTTCTGGCTGCATTGAAATTAGTTTATTTTGCAAAACTGCAATGAAAACACTTTTTTTTGCTTCAGATGAGTCATGTGATCAACAACCGGATGTTGCTACTGGCAGAAAAGACAAAGTAGACAGCAGGAAGCAGTGGCGGTTTCTGATATGGGCGGCATGAGCTAGCAACAGAAAGATGGTTCGCCCAGGGCGCCAAACAGACTAGGACCACCACTGGCAGGAAGTGGTAGGAGGATGATGGCACTGTGTGTTTTTTACGGGCCTTTCAGACTGAAGAAGGTTGGGAAATATTTGTTTTTGCTGCTTGGTGAACACAAACACCAAGCAGCTTTGAGTCACAGACAACCACCACTAAAGCTCAAACTAGTGAGGAAACAGTGTCACTTTAGTAACTCAGTGAATTCTTGATGCACCCTCAGCACCTCTCTCTAACTAGGCAGTTGCCATGTAAGTTTGCTAGTTTTTAATACTGTGGTTTAAACTTTGTGGGATACGACGGGAGCTAAAGACTTGACATGCTAAGTGATTCAAGTTAGTCTAAATATAATTTCAGCCGGCCTGAAAATAGCATGTACTAAAAGCTCAAATTACACTTACTGTCTTTGCTTTCGAGATAGAAACAAATATAAATCCCCGTTGACAAACTCTGAGGTGGCTCACGACGCACTAATTAAATGCGTCAAAGGCGTGTGGAAGAAATATTGGACGAAAACCTGTGGTGCATCTATTAAGCCCAGCAGAGTCTGACTTGCCGCTTGATAAAATGCTTTGAAATTTCTGTCACCTTGCAGGAAAAACATGGTGGCATTTAGCAGATAATCAGGGAGCTTTTAAGGCAGCTTTCCTGAAAACAGCTGCCAGACCTCCATCCCAAACGCTGCCATATCACCGAATTAACTACAGCATTACAGTAACAGCCATACAATACATGAGTACTTTACAATGATTGTGTTTTTGTTTGTTTTTAATGGTGGGTTTTTATATCAAACTGTTTCAAACAAAATGTAGCCTAAAGAGGAAATGAAAAGTTATGGCAACACGTAAAAGTGGATGTGGAGGTGAACTGTGTTCTGCTGGCCGGTCCACCAGCTCCTCATTATTGTCAAATTGTGAACAATAAAGGAAAGATCCCAAAAAAAGTTGTTCCTTTGTTTCTTATTTGACATTTTTAAGAAACTTTAACGTTCTCAGCACCACAGCTCTCATGTTTAATGACGATTTACCTTCATAACCTTAAGCTTATGAATCTTAACCTGACCTTAAACGTAAGCTACACATTAATAAGCTTTTAAATTATTTATCATTTTATCCACATTGAGCTTGAAAAGGGAGTTTTCCTTTCAACATACTGCAACAGGAAATGATGCCACGCATAACCAGGAAATAATCAGAATAGACAAGGAGAAACAAAGAGGAACAACAATCTGGGCAGCAGTATGTGTTTGTTGTAACCAGTGGGTTTCCAGTTTATGAATATGAATGTTTTTTATGTTAAATCCTGTTGCATTTAATGTTTTAATGAGGGGCCTTATACTCTCCTAAATGTATCTGTTTGTGATGGTACCAAAGCTGGCCATGTTACTTCTGTGTAATATTTTATTCAAAATTTTAATTTTTATCTTAAGGGGACATATTGTGAAAATTTCACATTTTGCAAATTTTTGTACTTCCATTTATATTTCTATTGGTTTAAAAAAAAAAAACAGCCCAAATGCTTAAAAAACACACACATCCAGAAACCACTTGCTGTGTTCTTGTTAATTGCGCAGGAAGCTCTACTTCTGCTTTTCAAAGATGTACAGTTTTATAATTGCTCATCTGTTCGCAGCCATTTGAGGGGGTGTTCGGTGGCCAGCAGTGGCTTATTTGGATTTAAAGTGACAAGAGCCCCTACAAAAAAGCTCAAAATAGGCAGAACTGGGGAGAATAAAGTTTCATTACTAAGAATGATTTGGTGCAAAAAATTGAATGAAGATGTTTTGTATAGACCTATCGCTACCTGTTCAGAAGCAGAATAGGTGAACATTAGCAAAAGACAAACAAATGGAAAAAAAAAACACTGTTAAAAATCTACAACACAGAACTAAAACGGAAACGGAATCAAACCAAACGATGCCCTCAGCGCACATTTGCACTCAAATAAATATAACGCCTCCGCTTGGATGGGCTGATGCGGTTCATCCTCTTAGTTAGCATGTGCCCTGTTTTTCTGGAGACAAGCCGCCATATTGTCAATCAAGACAAAGTTCTGAACAGGGCGGAGCCACAAAGAGTGAGAGCTGAGCAGCGAAAGTGAAAAAAAAAGTGGTTGGTTAAAAGGGTGTCAGTTATTTCGACCTATTACTACAGCTGTGACTACAGAATAGCAACTTACCACCATCAGGGTGTGAAAGTGTGTATAAATGGGTGAATGACTATAATAAAATATAGTTTAAAGCACTTGGTGGATCCTCTGGACTAGATAAAGCACTATACAAGTACAGGCCTCTTATTCTGAGGCTTTTGAGAGATATTGAGCTCTACTACTCAGGAGTTTGCTGAACCAAAGGAGATGAGTGGTTCCAAATGACTGTACTTGATGTAGAAGACATTTTTAAAAAGACCTTTTTACACTGAAGACTTGTAAAAAGACTCATACAAGTCTTGAGTTATCTGAAGACTTGTATGAGGTGAGCTGTGTATCTGACCAGGAGGTTTGCCTAGCAACTGTGAGGTGTCATGACACAAAAAAAGAGACGAAATGCTCAATGTTTTCTAGTGTGAACACATCTTCTCATTCCTCAGGAACAGCTGAATAAAAGTGAGTGGGCAACAGATATTTCGGGTTGTTTGTCTTGCAGGAAACGGTGGTAAAACGCAGCGTTATAGAAACGAAAATAAAACAGTTGCCTGGAAAATTGATTCTGCGGATTATTCTGGGAGAACATGTGACATCTTTCAACCTAATACCAGTGGAATAGGGCCAGACCACAACCAGAGAAATGTAAAATAAAAAAAAACGATAGACTGTTAACCTGAATCCAGTCAAAGGAGGATAATCTGCTGTCTCGGATAATTAGCACATCATTCTCTGTCCTAGACCTAATTCTGTCAAATACAGCTTCAAGCAGGGTGCAGAAAAAATGTGAGGATATCTAGCTTATTCCTCTGTGGAGCCTAAACAGAGATCACTGCTTACTTGAGATCCTCAAGGACACCGTTGTGTACTGTGTGCTTAACCTCTGTTGTTAAATATAATAAAGAATGCATCATTGTGAGGTGTATAGCCTGTGAGGGTGTGATCCATGAAGGAGAGACCATTATAAAAGCATCATAAATGAAAAGAGGCTGCAGATAACAGTCCCTAAACACCGCCGCCGCTCTCCTGCTATACATAATCACTAAAGAACTAGCACATTACAGAGCATCCAAACACAATGCAGCTCAAAAACTCACCCATTTAACCTTGACTTAACGCCGACTTCCACCTAGAGAGGATACATAGATATTAACAATGGCACCAAGCGCGGGTGAAGCAGTATGGAGTAGGACACTGCATCATTTACAGAAACAAATGTTTCAAGATCTTCTTTTTCAAACCACAGGGAGACGTCCATCTTTATCTGCGTGTTTTAGTACGTCTATCACATTCTAGCTTGGCTATTCTTTGATTTAGCGTGACTTTTCCTTCATCAACTCTTCTTAAGGAGGATACTTTCATAACCCAAGCCCCTCGTAGTTGTTAATATGTGTTTCCTTCTGGCCCCGACATACTTCATCCGAAGTGCCAAAATCAGACACGTGAAAAAAGTTGCGTCATTTCGTTCAACTACCGAACTCGACACCAAGCCCTGTTCCAACTATCTGGACAGAGCTCTGTCCGAAGTGGTGCGTTATTGGTCAGAAGTTTGTTTTTACGTGAAAATGTGCTGACAGCAATGTTCAGCTAGTCCTTTTCCACCATTGGATTTTTGTAACTGTGGGAGACATGAGTACTTTTGATGAACGTTTACCTGATGCGGTGAAGAACTATGTACATTTGTACGATTCTTCACGAAATAACTATTAAATTAATAAGACTAGTTAAGAGCTCCTGGATGAAAACTGCTCTGTCATTCACAGAGGAGACTAAAGGTTGCTGAAATGAGACGGATCACTATTTCTGAGGATTTTAGCTATGGGTCTGTCAGTGTGTTTAACTGTCTTTTCCCCACCAAAAATGGTGTGACATTAACTACAGAAGAACTACCGAACGAAATGCAGAGGGTCAGCTATGGGAACCAGAATATACTGACACTTTATTTATGTTCTCAACAGAAGGAGTTCTGCTCCTAAATGGAGAACAGGCTGGCCGACCCAGTTTTCCCTCATCAGATTGAGCAACTGTGGGAAGTTCTGAATGAAGTCCAATCCATGGAGTCCTACCACTCCACTTACAGGACACAGAGACTCTTCTAGCATGTCAGTCCCAGGTAACACTGCACACCTTCCAGGGACTTGTGGAGTCCATCTACAGGTCAGAGGTCAGGGATGTTCTGACAACAAAGAGGAGCTACTGCACAATGATGCAGGCAGTCATAATGTTATGCCTGATCAGTGTAATACCAGACCTTATAGTTAAACTTGGTTATCTTACAGTAACAACCTGATAAAGTGCAGGCTGTTGTGCCTTTCCACCATCTGTCCTTATCGTACTTTTAGGACCTTTTTTTGCCCCGCCCCCCCAAAGGGGGAGATTGGAGATCAGAGTTTCCCCCCCCCCCCCATGTTTTCAATCTAACTTCACCATAAACTGATACAAGCACAAGCAACCAAACTCGTTGGGAACTTGTGTGTGATTGCACTTGAGCTAGCTCAGATAACGGTATTTGATCGCCGATTGGCGCTAATTGCATGACTGTGCAGTGGGAGGCTGGCTTTGTGGGTTGGTGCCAGGACAACAAGCTCAGTGTGTGTGTGTGTGTGTGTGTGTGTGTGTGTGTGTGTCCGTCCCAGTGGCAGGCCATGCTGCAGCTGAATAACAGATGTTGGCTGACAGTCAGGGCCATTTGTCATTTATCTGTCTAAGCAAAACAGGTTGGAAGGTGTCACCCTAAGTCAATGTCAAAGGCTTCGATGGCAAGAAAGGCATCCAAACATTTTAATGCTGTTTAACCCTCTACCTGTCCTCTACGAGCCATGGACCAGTTTGACCTATTCTGTGTTTTCACTGCAGATACTTTCTGTGATCCTTATAAATTACCTGCTGTCATGTAGCTCTGAAGGTCTGTCTGGCTGAATTCAAGAACTCAGTTACGAAGAAATCTGCATGCTTTTCCTTTTTGGAACAGATTTGTTTAATGGTGTAGATTTTCTTATTTCATCTCCTGTCCAATTTCTGTACAGGGAAAGAAACTTTGACAGCTAAATTATGATAGTAAAATTGACTTTTTCTTTTCTTCCCCATCTGATACATTTCCCCCCCTTTTTCACACCTTCACTGTAACATTTTGAAAAATATCCCTGCCTGTTATCTTGATTCACGTCTGATGAAGTCTGATGGTTTTACCATTCTTCAGATTTCTCTTATTATGTTCTGTCACCTCCTGCAGAGAGCGAGCCAGGCTTTCTTTACCAGTGCACTTCTTTTTACCGTGTTTCCACAACGGTGAAATTTAACACAGCTGTGTAAGCAGATGAAACGGTACCATACCTGCAAATCGTAATCTTTTATTGGCGTAAAACGCAGTAAAATTAAACTCCATTCAGTTCCTATACATCTTCCAAATCTAATAAACATCTGTAGTGTCTGGAGGCAGTTTAGCAAATGCCTAATTGACCATTTTGCCAGGGGGAATAAAAAGCTTTGTTGTCTTATGACATTCTATCAAAAGTTTAACAATACATCCAGTTTATGAGACAAGCTAGTACATGATAGAACGGTGTGAGACAAGAAATGAGATGTGACAATATTTTAGGGAGCCCAACAATCTCTTTTTTTCTGCAAAGAGATTGTGTGTAAAGGTTTTAACTTGTACAAACCTCTAATCAGTGTAGACTATTTTAGGCTTGACCAGCCTACTGACACGTTCTGATAATTCCATTTTGGGTTTCACAATCAGAAATTCAAAAACCTAAACTGTGTTTAAAGTAATCTCTCTGCAGTTAAAGCTTGACCATTCTAAATGTTTTAGATTTTTAGCAAGATGTACAAAGCTGTGGTACAAGTTCCCTAAAAACTGAGCTAGCCCATTAGCGCTAACAGGAAGTTATGAAGCAGATGCTAATGTTAGCTGTGTTAGAAGCTAACGTTTAGCTAGCCTCGCAGTGCTTACAACCTGATTTTATCTTACTCTGTCAAAATTTCATTTTGTACTCGCACAGAGATTATTTTAAAAATTGCGGGAGCAGATGCCCTGTCAGCTTATCCTTCTCTACTGGCCCAGACTTTCACCAGCGTTGAAGTTTAGTCGTGTCACATTTTAGAAATCACTGCATTAAACCACAAGCAGGTTTATAAAATTAGCTTAGTTTATTAGCTGACAAAATGAATAGAAAAGCCTCTGGCTCATATGTGAAAACGCTGAGAATGAAACAAACAAATCTGCAAATATAAAAAAAGGGAAAGGACAATATGTGAGTTGTCATCATATAACCCATAATAACAGCAGTCAAACTGACCTATGTCAGATTTAACATTGGCATAAATAAGTGTGTTTTAATATCTGTCCTTGTTCCACAAGATCTCATTACAATCTCATGTACTATATTTCACTTTGTTCTCCGATGTTGGTTTAATAAATGTCTAGTACCTAATGACATACCTTGGGGTCGTTTTTCTGTGCAGGTCGTTTCTCGCGGAGGCTGTGTTCTGTGGGGACTGATGGCTTTTTTTATTTTAAGACAAGAGGACGACAACATTGTTCATGATGACAGCTCTCCATATTTCCCTCAGAACCACAGCGGCTCGGCTCGGCTATTTCTGACGGAGCCGAGCCCAAGGTCATCATCTGTACTCGCTCCGGTGCTCTCTCCCGGTTGCTTAGAGTGCACAAAGTGCAGCAGCCGAGGTGCTTACCTACATATGGATTATGTCCTCTGTCTCCCCCCGTACCGCCACACACAACGAGCCTAAGTTATTTTATGTGGCTGTCATAAAGCTGCCGGTGAATAACAGCCAAAGGAATCCCCGCTGAAAAACATAAAGGCGCCTGACATAAAAAAAAAAAAAAAGAAAGAAAAAGAGGAATGATGCACAGACCTGGAACGCCACATCATCCCTGCAGCTACACAAACGTAGCCCTTTACTGCTCCCGATCAGCCAAGCCCACGCTTTAAAAAAGACGGAACAATACTGCCACAGCCCCGGATAGTTGCCAAATGAATATTTACACAATTCAATCGCAGGAGACACGGGGCACAGATCACGTTGCACACAATTAACAAGAGGCAGGCCGTTTCCAGAGGGCCCGCGGGCGCTGAAGAGAAATGCACAGAGGTTCAAATGAGAAGGGTGTGAATATGGATTTGGCGTCATCATCCAAGGTGACACACAGTGAAAAAGAAAGCAAAAGAGTGAAAGAGCAGTAAAAATGAGGCTTCGTGGAGAATTAGGTTTGAAAAGAAAAAAAAAACCTTAATGAGAGAGAGAGAGAAAAAACAAAACAAAGGGAGAGGCAGACCTCAGCAACGCATCACAGCTGGGAATAGCTCACTTCCTGAGGCTTTCCAAACTCAGGAATATCTTGTATCTGAAATCCTTACTTTATTAAACTAGTGGAGTAATTAAGAGCAGAATAGTAGGAGAGGCAGCTCATTTAACTTTTTACCCAGATTGATCCACATGAGTAATTTTTATATAAGTAAATATCTTTAAAAATATTTTGAGAATTATTTTATATTATTTTACACTTTAAAGCTGCAGTAGGTAATTTTTATAAACTTTTTTTTTTTTTACATATTTGTTAAAACTGTCTCTTTGTCATGACAGTATAATACGAGCCAAATGCATAAAAAGCTAATCTGCTTTATGGCAGTGCTCCCAGTTCAAACTAGAAATAACCTATCAGAGCCAGGGGGCGGGGCTAAGCGCTGTTACCCTCCATCTCCCCTGCGCTCTGCTGCGCTGCAGCTAGCATAGCCTGATGTGATGCTCAGGCTAGTTAGCATGGCCACCAATGACGGCTAATAAATTATTTTTCTGCTATGGTAAATTGTTTATTGGAATTGCATAGAAAGGCATTAGCCAGGTTAGTCTGGAGGAATTGTGCCATTATTTCTTCTTGATTGGCACCCATTTCATCCTCGTACTGCATGGTTGGGTGGGTGGTCTCAGAGGATTTGGTATTCTAACTTCAATCTGGTTGAAGAGGAAGGATTTGCCCTCTCCAGGTGAGGAACAGAACAGACAGAAAGGGAGCAGCAATATTCAGATAGCACAATCTGGGAAAAGAAAGAAATGTTGACCAGGAGTACGCAGGCTTTCCATGCAGTTGGGTGATGAGTAATGACTAACGGTTGCTCCTCTTTCAAGTGCCTTCAACCCGGCCCAGTTTTTAATAAACCAAGCTTGAACTGAAGGGGTTTTTTTTTTGGTTTTTTAAAGAAAGAACACGGCATTAATTTCCAACTTTTATTTCCCCTCCAAATGTAACAATGATGTTTATGGCCAAACCCTTTCATTTTAGTTTCATCAGACCACAGGGCATGTCTACAAACATTAAAGTAGTTTATCACGGAGTGCATTTGGAAACTATAATGTGTGTTTCTTTATTAGAATAATGGCTCTCTGCTTCCTGAGTGACATTTTAGTCCTTTCGGTGAGAGAATTCACTGTGGATGATGACACTTTGTTACCGATCTGTTTCCAGTGTCTTCACAAAAACATTTGCTTGTGCTTTGAGGTTGATTTACACATTTTGCACCAGAGCACATTGATTTCTGGGACGCAGAAACTGACTAATTCCTGAACATTTCCATGCTGTTTATTTTACTATTAATACTTACACTTAAGTGAAAGATAAATCTGTCGTCTTCAGGTATCTGTACGTACCACTGTTACGACAACCAGTTTTGCTGGACGATAAATTGTCAGAAATTATCGCACTAAATTTAATGTTGTTTTGATAGTGGGTGATATGGACTTTTCCATTTTGTTCCTCTGAATTTTTAAAACTCTGCAACTTCCAATAACTCATGTAAATCTTGTTCCTAAGATGCACTAAAAGAAGTGTAACAATTAACCCAACAGCTCAGGATTAAGATCAAACTTCTACAGCTTACCCTCGACACACTAAAAAAAAAAAATGCTTTTCTTTCAATAAAGAAAAATCCATCCAGCTGTGTAGTGGAAACTTGTCAGAGCTCAGGAATATGATTTACCTAGCATCAGCAAAAATTATTAACTGTTGGTTAATGGAGTCGAGCAAGCGGGCCACGAGTGTTTGACCTGAACCGGCGGGGTGGCAGTTAGCCAGGAGGAATTGATAAATGCATTATAGATTACTTTTACATCAGCTTCTAAATGAACTGAAGTTGCTGAGTTACAGTTGTGTTCAAAGTAATAGAGGACAGATCGTTTATTGCCTTTGGTGGAAATTAAATGTTTCATCACAGATGAAGTTTAAAACAATAGCAGCGTAGAATTGAATCAGCGCGATCATTTAATTGGTGAACATGATCGAGTTGGATCCTAACTTAACAAAATGATATTAAAGAGACCGTATCACGCGTTTTCCAGGCACATTGCACAATCAAGTAACTATGTTTCCTTCATCAGTTCTTATCAAAAGGCTTTATATATCAAATATGACTTGAAAGAAATTTTACATTGTAATTTAACACCTTGAAATTTGACTACTGTCACTTTAAGAAACTCCTGCTGTTTCTGAAACTCCGCCTTCAGGAAGTCATCACAACATGGCTCCTCTTTCAACCCTTTAACAATGATTAACAGCTAGCTGAATGGTTGCCACAGGAGATTTGAGGATTTCTCAAACATGTCTGAAAGAATGTATAACATTATCTAAAGCTAAAAAATTATATTTTACACAGTACTGCCCCTTTAAGATGGATCGAAGACGCAGACATTAATCAGGAAAACAGCAGAACAAAACATCAATTCTATGATTGATGTTTTGATCAAAGCTACATATTCAAAAATAGTTCCGTTTGTATATTTCTTTTTGACTTGGTGAAGTAAAATGTTCAGAAATTTAAAAATGACCTTTAGTTACTTTTTAAAACAACATGTTGAACACAACAGTATGTCAAAACCCATTAGGATGAATATTTCAGTTGCTTTTAATTATGAGGTGCCAACCTGAACTCCGTCTGTGTCGTGTGTTTGCAGGGGGATCGTTTATATGTGCTGTGGCTTCACTTTGCTCAGCCCTTTCCTGTGCCTTATCCTTTCTCATTAAATGTAGTTCGCTCAGTCTGCTCAGACAAATGTAACCTTTCTTGTCCCTTTACGGATAGGAGAGCCAGGCGCAGCGCAGCGGCTTCCACCACGGCTGATTCTTTATTTTATTTTTATTTTTTTGCCTTTCACCTTGTTTGTGTTTATTGACATTGATGAGGGAGAAACTGTGGCTGGCCTGATGGATGCAGAACCTTGTGAACAAATTCCTGAGCTGACCGCAGCGCGAGGAGACAAAGCTTTTGGGCGATCTGCTACAAGGCAGAGGTCAGGGAGCTGAGCTAAATTCCATCATTATTTTTCAACTTTGGGGAAATTATGTGCAAAGTGATTCTCTTCGCTGGACGCGTCTTATTTGTGGAAGCTTTGAGGGAGTCGTTGGGTCACTGACAGGAAGAGACGGCTTTAGCACCGGCTGGGAGAGAGTATATTTTATGTTGTAAAAAGGAAAAAAATACAGCAGAGCAAACAAGAAGTGCTAATAAATCTTGAAAATAAAAAAAAACAAGTTAAGAGTTCGGCTGTACTTATGAAGTCGGAGGAAGAGGAGAAAAGAGTCGTAGCAGAATCAATCTTCATAAACATAAAAACCGAGCACACACCCTCAGGTAAATCCCCGAGGCCCATCATAACCCGAAAACAATACAATCGGAAAATACATCCTCATCCAAGTCTGACTGAGAGTTGAGTGATGGAATAAAAATGAATTTGCATATAAATGAGGTAGGGACTTAGTATCGGTTTGCTCTTGAATAAAATTATATAGAAAGCGTAGGGCATGTTGGCAGCATGTCAGCCAAGATGTAAGAAAATCTGCTCACATGAAATAAAACCTTATGAACCTTGACGAGGATCAGACGGGAAACATCTTATATGAAATATTTAAATTTGACGTTGTTTGTCGTCTTGTACTCCGAGTGGATTTATTTGTTCTGTTATTTCTGTATTTGATCAAACCTACTCATGTTTTACTTCTCAGCCAAGCCAGTATCTTAAACCTGACATCTTCACAATAATCTACAGTGCATATGGACAGTATTCACTTTTCTACATTCTGTCAAAGCCTTGTTCCAGATTGTATCAGATTTAAATAAATGTGGGGGTTTTTTTTTCAGTTCTCTATTTTTAAATCGGCAAAAACCTCTACAACATTTTTTTTCACATTGTTTTAATGCAGTATTTGTATGTAAAATTTTGGAGGAAAAAAACTTTGTAGTGAAACAGTTTTCAGATACACTGTAAAGAAAAAATGTATAGTCAAACCTATAATGAGGAAAATGGGCCAGAAGCTCAGAAATCTTAACTTTTTAGTCACCTTTTGCCACATTACAACCACAGATTTCAGTGTAGTTTATTAGGATTTCGTGTGATAGACCAACACAAAGAAGCATATAATTAATTGTAAATCGGAAGGAAAACTTCACAGTTTACTTATTTATTACATTTATGGAGAGCGCTGTGCGATGTGTTCAAAGATTTGGGGAGGAACTTCAAACCCTTACCCTGACTTATAACAAATTCAAAACTTTTTCCCTGACCCGTCTGGTGTATTCCTTGATCCTCTATTTTCTTTTAATTTTCCCCGACAAACTAACCAGCTAGGCCTTCACAGAACAGCTGGATTTACAGAGATTAAAATTGCACACAGTTGGACTCTGTTTACTAATTGGGGAGTTCTGAAGGCATATCGAGTTTGTTTGTACAGCACCATTCATACACAGGGTAATTCAAAGTGCTTTACAGCTCTTTATGGAAAAGTTGTATTAAATGGCAATGTTTTTATTCTTGGTATAAATGAACCAGCAGCTTGTGCACATTTAAGGTTTTCAGCGAGTTCTTCACCTTTTACACACTAAACAGCGTCACCTTTTAGTTCTGGTCTCAAAAACACTGAGTTGAGTGAGCAGGTTACAGATGATGCTTCATGCCTGACTATATAAATCTGAAATATATTTTACCTGAAAGCCTTTTAGACCATCATTGAGAATTTAAATATAATCTTTTTACAAACTGGGAACCAGTGCAGTTTTACAGTTATCAATAAAGACACTGTTACAATGATCTAATCTTCTAAAATTAAGTTTATATATGCCCCGTTTCCCTTGCATGTGTATCTAAAATTGCCCCCCCCCCCCCCCCCCTTTTTTTTTTTTAGAATGGACGAAATTCAGACTTATAGATACTTATAGACTTATATAAGTCTACTTATAGATACCATAAACACACCAGTTCTGTGACTGTAGGAGGCTATTGTAGTGGGTTAAAATGAAGTGTGGTCACATATAAAGTTTTGCGTCATGGTGTTGTAGTACTCCATGATCTCATTCATAGACTGAAAATAGCACCACTGGCTACACTGCAGTTTATTTAGGGTCATCAGCGATTAGAGCTGAATATTATCTAGCACAATAAGTATGGAAGTTTGACCATCTTGGTCACACATTGCGGTGGGATGGCATCCCATTCTTCATCCATGTCATCTGCTG